TTTATAGCAAATTGTAAAACTCCAACCATAACTGCATGTGTTTATCTAGAACAACTACATAACAATATTGTTTTCTAGTTTCTACGCAGTACATACAAAGCATACCGGAATTGAATGCACCTTTCTAGACGATCACGAGGACTTACTCGTGCAGACAGGCAATCGCGCACCGCACGTGTGCGTCACGTGCGACCGCGCAATTGGAATGGACCCGATCTCGCGTTTGCAAATAAAAACATATTTTACGTGCCGATCTCTGATCGGATTTGCACACGCTCACGTTTTCTGCTACGGGACGTTAACTCGCGTGTGTCTCGGGGGCAGTGAACGCGGAAAATGTACATACACGTAACGTATGACCTCTCAACGTGGAGTTTGTCCGTCACTACCTCCAGACCGCTAGTCTAGGCGTATAAGCAATTCGGCTGATTGAGAAATCAGAGTGTATCAGATATTTTATCTATCGCGTAATTGCAATTATGGAAAGTAAACGAAAGAATCAGAACTCACGTTGCAACTACGGAGCACCTTCGTGATAATGTAGTAATGAATATTTTAACTTTCATACTGCTTGGCTTTTCAAACAATTTACGACTGAGAAAGAATGCGTAAAGCGTGATTACTTATCTGCTTTTTATACGCCGAATGCAAAAAACCGCGTGAGATTTTCGATTAATCCAAGTCTTGATCACGTGAGGGCAGCATGAAAGCTAAGTATGTGCAATTAAATTTTTGATTGATTTACGTTAGAATACGTATTTGAAAAATATATTTTTTTATTCTTTCAAGTTTTTGCAAAGCAATAAAAACTACTTGATTTCTCTTTTGCACAGATTAAAAAAGTTTATATATAATGATATAAGATTTAAAAAGTTAATATATAATCTAAAATTTAAAAATCTTAAAGAGTACAAAAACTGTTCCAATTATTACAAGGTATTAAAAATGTTTATAAAATTTTCATATATTACCCATTTTGCTGTGAATCTGAATATCTTATGCTTTTTGCGTCATTTCGATAGTGTGCGATATGCTACACACGCGAAAGCGAAAGAAGGTAAAAAGAGGATCTATTGAGTCACGCTACGTAAGCAGAGGGGTTAAGGTCAATGATACATCCGTGTCCGACAAATCGATCGCGATCCGAAGGACGTCTCTCATAGCAAACAAGACGCAATACTTTAGACACGTGGGTCGAACAGTCTGCGTATTTCATGCCTGATGGTTCGAGATTCTCCAGACAATGTCTGAACCTTCGCGGAATTCCAGAAAAAAAACGTTAAGAGTTTTAAGATCGGCTTCCTCTCTCTTTTTTGCAAAAAAGCGAACTGTCCTACAAACACTATGTTGTGAGAATAAGTTAGTAGTTGACATTTGCCAAACTAATTCTGAAAGATGAAACTTTTGTCAATGACAACAGCAATACTACTGTCTATGCGTTGTTTCAAATACTTATTAATTGCTACTCATATCATTTGAACGCGAGCTAAGTTATTATACAAAAATGTGTTGTATATGTCCACATGTCAAAACTATGTCAAAAGCTTCTATGAACTGCTACGTATCTTATGACACCTTTATAACTCGAGTCTTCTCGTTAAAAACGTGAATTTAATTTCCTAGAAACCATGTTATCATCAGACAAAATTTATCTATTCTGCTAAAATAACGTAGTAAGTCAATATATACTATTTCAATGCGCAAGTGAATCTTTGTTCGTTTTGTAGCTGCGTATATCTTTTTACGGGCACGAGATTAGAAAAGCGAAAACTGCGTAGTCGTGCAACTCCTTTTTAGATGACACAATCGCTTCGTCTTTACACAAGATGCAGTTTCAAGGTACGCACGAGTTCAGATGATATGCGTATATGATGACGCATCGATGCGTTTTTTTCCAAGGATACGGGGATCTTCGTGTTGCACTGATCAAGTTCATTATATTTATACGCTCTTGTGAATATATACAGCAAGTACATAAAAACAAAGTATCTGAAAATGGCAGAACAAACACATGTATTGAATTTAATTTAACTCTGTCGAAATAGTTATTTTTTATTACTGCTATATAGTCAACATCATTATCTTGATATACTTTTCTGTTTATGTCCTGTAAAAAATTTGATAATGTATTTCTCGATATTCACGGAAGATATATGCGCGTAACATATCGACAATAGTTGTTGAAATATAAATATAGCTTTATGCTTATCACTTATTATAATAATAATGACCAAGCTAGACATCGATAAATGAATGAATCGTAGAAGATTTCTGTCTCATTATAAATCGAGATTACAGTTGTAGAATAAACGACTTATCTCTCATATTTCAAGTATAGAAAATGTCTAAGAAATAGATCTAAAAAATAAAAACTACTTATGTAACCAGAATAATAACCGGATTTAATTGCCATATTCTAATTATTATTTATATTGAAATAATATTAAGAATATATATCTGATTATCTGTTTATGTATATTTATAATCGGATTGAATAAACTTTCTTTGTATAAATCATAGTTGCTTTATTTCTCACGCTAACGGGCGCATTATTCGCATATTTCGGGACTGCGTTATTTCGGAGTAAAAATGAATCGAATTCTTTGGTATGTTTCGTGATGATAGGAAATCCATTTATGCCGAAGGAATTTTTTAATGTGCCCTTACACGCGCGCGCGCTATTTTTGCAGTCACCGTCTATCATATCTTGTCTACCTCCTTCATCTTCGCGTCGTCTCTAATGTAAAATTATTCGAATACGTTGGCATACAATTAGAGTCGTGGAATCGCGTGACGCACATAGGAATCCAACGGGAGACCTCGAGCGCGGCCACCGACACCAGCGATTAGCAAGAAGCTCGTCATCCTGGAACGCCGACGACAACGAACGCGCGCGCGTGCTTAGCCGCCACATCGTATGTAATATGTACAGTAACCTTCATATATCCGATTCTGCGAGAGGGAACGAAGCTGTCCCTTCTATACCCATTCTCTTTCAACTATTGTCGATCGGTCAATGGCTAGAGTAAAACTGCGTATAGAAAGGGTATCGTCTTTTTCTTTCTCACAAAACTGAACATACGAAGATTGCTGTACCTCCCTTTGTGCGTATTGAAGTATGAAGATCATTAACCCTTTAGAGCTGCTGAGTATTCTCGAGACGGAGAGGACACCTGTATCTTGCTTTCGATAAGACGACATGCGTTGGCCTCCCCGCACGATAATCGCGCACGGAAGTCACGATAGATTTTAATTACAAGTATCATGTTTAACTTCTATACTCTGCACAAAAAATTCCGCGCCAAGTTAAGATTATATATACATTATACTGAAAAATATGAACACATTAGTGACGGAAGTGAAAAATATAAAAACTGAAGCTTTATTTTATATATCTGTATAAATCTAATTTAAAAATTAATAAATTTCAATAATAAGATCAACAGAATATTTAGAAAACGCTATTTTCGAGCTGAAAGATAATTATAATAATAAACAATATATATATAGTGAGAAAGAATACATTTTAAAAATATATTTTTCTTAAAGCAATTGATGATGTCCAAATATCGAATTGCGTTTGTTTTTTACGACGACTTAGATATGTGCGAAAATCCATAAGTTTTGCGCAATTTTTGAAGAGAGCTGAGAAAATGTTTCACTTGTTAGATATAAGTACCAGTCGAATATTTTAATATGTATTTGAGTATTACGACATTCTAATCTTGAATTCATTTACATATGTATATAAAAACCTCGATCTTTATCCTGTCTATCACATACATTTTTTATAGATTCTTCGTTTTTTCTAAAAACTGTTGTTTAAGTTTCTTTTATAATATCACTTTGATTTTTCTTCTGGTTTATTTGTAGATATTTGGCATACAAATTTTGACAAAAACTATTTATTAATTTTTCGACTGATTTTCTCATTCATAGTTTTATGTAGAAAGTGAATTATATATATATATATATATATATACTATATATATAAAAGAAAATAAACAATTATATAATATTAATTGTAAATAATATATGTAAAAATATAAATATAAAACTAATTTGGAAACGTTTTTTTTGCTAATTAAACGTTTGAGATTACATTTCGATACGGCATATTTCTTTCGTTAGCACATTCCATTTTTTTCATATGTATTTTTATATTATACAAAAAAATTTCTAAAACAATTTCTTTCTCTCTTTTTCTGCTATGATTTGTTATAAAAGTTTGTTTGACAAAAGCTGTAACAGATCTCTCTAGTCACGTAAATTAGGATTTGTTCCGTTACGCTTTAATCGTTTAGAATGTAGTTTTATTGTGTGTGTAGTAAAACTTTATCTTCCATTTCTTTCATATACAAATTCTTTGTAGAGATTGACACATGTCACTTTTAATTTTGCAAACCTTGTACCCTTCAACTACCATACCGAGGTCAGCATTGTAGAAAGTTTTATATTATTATCTTTTTAGTTCTCTTAATATTATCAAAAATGACTGCTATCACTATTATCAATTAACTGATACATTTATATGAGAAAAAAACATAATTATAAAGGATACTTCTATGTAATAGTGATATCAATCTCCGTGCACTGTAATACACAAGAGATTTACGACTGCTTTGACATTGACTTGTATAAACTACGCGCAGACTGCACATAAATAATTAAACCATTAAATTAAAATTTACTATATAAAGCAAGTAAGATAAAATCAAAGTCTGCAATAAGAAAAAGAGCGAAAATATAGAAAGGGAGAGGGAAAGTCAAGTCCGTCGTGGAATCTGTGTTTCGGTGTTTTGAAGCCAAGGTCTCATTGCGGATCTCGCCGAAATATTGCCACGTAACTCACGGAACGTTAATGCAGGTCGGGTTTCGCAGGTCCAACGCAATCTTCCAAGGTCGCAAAATGCGAGTGATAAAAATTAAATAATAAAAAAATAAAGCAGAATCGCGAGTATCGATATTCAACGAACATATAATAAATTGTAAACAAAAAATTACATAATTATTGTGGCTATCAACTTTCAAAAGCATTTTTCAAAATTTTTTTAAAAAATAATTAAAACTTAAGTACATTATCTGCATTTCGCGCTAAATCATGGTAAGTACATGTATAAATTGATTATATACATATGTATTTTTCTATTCGCAACGCCAATACTCAACTGCATTTGTTACGTGAGATGCTATGTAGTATTAAAACTTTTAGGTTATCAATAATAAAATCAATTAATCGACTAAATTACGATAAGAAATTCTCAAAATGAAAAATATTAATGGAAATTTTTACTTGTTAAGTCCTACTCAGGATGTTCGATGCAACCTAGTCAGCCAAAAACATCATGCCCATCTAGATTTACTTGCCTCAGTAATTTGCCGCCACACGTCTGCATTGTATCGCCCATTTCTCAAGGACCACGCTGGAAACCTTGTTGTATTGTTAAATACGGTTTTCCTTGCAAAGCTCACGCTCGTCTGCAAAGACGTATGCAATTTAATTACTTTGACTTGATATCTCAATATTGAAAAATCTATAGACATGATTAACATTACCACGTATAACATTCTATTGCTCTTGGAAATATTATTGCGTATCACATTGGTGCTTAATGGTAAAGCATTTTTGCTCTTTGTAAACTTTCGATGAAATATAACACGAGATAATGTAAAACTACAATACGAAACAACTGTTTATCAAAGTAACTACGGTTTTCGTTTATGAACAAAGCAGGGACTTGTGCCAAAGTCCCGAAACCGAAACCGCATCAGCTCTTGTAATGCAACACGTTGCAACGCTGGTCATTCATTTTTTGCTTATCTTTCTCGCATACCTAGTTGACAGCGAAATACACCGCTTGCCAGACAGACGACGTGTCGTCAGCGGTTAATCTAGCCAGATAGGAGAAGATCCGAGGAATTTGCAATAAGTCGCTGCGGGAAGGCAAGCAAAAAGACAATGCGTAAGTGATGCGTGCCAAGTAGTGAGAAAAGAAAACCGGAAACACACAGTTGATTCGAAAACTTATCTTTAAAATTATTCCAAGGAATCGTATTCAAACTGAAATACAAAACGTCTTTTTTTTTTCGTCTCTAACACACATAACTACTACACATGTAGTAGACCTTGCAAGATGCTGGTGATTGTCATTATCTGAGAAAATTGTGATTTGTCTCGAAGAATGATCGCTAAGCTTTGAAAAGAATTCTTACTTTATTTAATTCTTATTAATCCATTTAAATTTATACATTAAATTTATATACATACATATATACATATATATATATATATATATATATATATATATATATATAATATTGAATACTTGTATAAATTAAATATCCCCCGTTGGATTTAAGATACAGATTATGAAAGACAAACACACGTTATAGATATTTCTTACGCTCTCTAAGTTTGTAATTTAAGCAACTTTATAAAATTTTATTTACCAGTAATACATTACAAAAGTCACAAACACAAGTTATTTCATTATTAATATTTTTTTGTAAAATCAATAAACCTTGACCGATCACAAAAACATCTATCGATCAAGTTTTCTTCGTTGTATTATTTGTTCGTTCGTTAAGTACCTACACGACACGTTATTGACACGTATTGACATACCGGATATATAAGACTCAAGCAGTCACTCACTTATAACATTTCGTTAAGGCTTGCCATCATAGCAAGCAAAAAAACCAAGCAGTAAATATACAAATGCACATTTCATGAATGTAAAATTTTATCTGTTAAGTGCAAAAGATAACAACACAAACAATACAAAAAGCGTTATTGCGTATTTATTGTTTTTCTTTTCGGTTTACATGTCTTCAGCCTTATCAGTCTAACCGGTCATAAATGCTATTATTGACACCAGACAACGTTCATACTTTTAATATCGCATGTTTTAAAAGTTTCTGTTGTTTTAGCGTTTTTACAAGTCTGATGTGTCATATCGAATCTCTTTACTAATTCCTGTTACAGAGAGATATTATACATCTGTATAAAAAAGATTCTAAAAAATCTTTGAAACACTATAAAGACAATTAGATTTTATACTATGACATAATTAAAAATAATATAAACAAAACATGCCAATAAAATGTTTTAATAAAAACATCTTCTAGAATATCTATTAGACTAATGTTTAGAACAATCGAGAAGTAGAGGAGATTTGTGTGTAGAGTCGGTCAATAATATAGGCGCCTTGACGCTTATATGTTGTCTGCAGACATTTTTACCCTATTTCATTCACGGTTGATAGCATGTGTTCACTCAAGTTTTTACCTCCTTTAGACATTTTTAATTTTATACATTATTTAATACCGATTTCTTCTTAAAAAATACGAGCAAAAAATTTATTCACATGTTTATAAATATTCATCATATTTACTTACTGTAGAAAAAATAATATTATTTTTGTTTAGTACATAGTTTAATAGTTTAATGTATATTACACACATAGGTACAGAGAAGTGCACCGTATCCGCTCTAAGGGAAGTTTTTCTCTGAAATCTCTTTTCTGGCTGCTTCTACTACCGCGCGCCGTACTCTTTCGATCTCCGCCAGCGGCCCGAAATTGAAGGAAAATGGCGCGAGGTAGTAGAGACAGCCGGAGGAGAAATTTCCGAGAAATACTTCCCCTGGAGCGGAACGATATGATGCACTCTTCTGTACACTCTTTAAGGTAACTAAATATTTTAATAAAATAATAAATAACAAGCTTTTTGTTCTCTTCTCTTGATTTTATCATATCTCTTCGCATATATTTCACATATATACATATATACGCTTTCCTGTTCACATTATATCTTTTTACTTACTGCTTTAACATTAAAGACATAGTCTAGGAGATTTATTAAAAGCTTTCTCTTTATTTCCGCTTATATGAATAATCATCATCTCGGTCAAGGCTATTCTCTTCGAATAATAAAGATATAACTAATGAAATGCGATCGATGTCGCTGCGAGATAAAATAATACGCGTTTCGTGCGTCTCTTTTTTCATACCTGTGTTCCATTCTCTGATCTATTCTTCTCTAATATATATTATTATTTTGGAAATGATTAAAATATTACGTAGTAAAATATATTCTATCAACATGTGAAAGGGTCAAAAGTATCGTTACATCAGCTTAAGGATTTGAGTATGCTGGTGAGTTACGTAAATTAATTAGAAATCTTAAAGTATGTTACACCACAATAGTTATCGTAAAGCGAAATTAGAGATTGTCCTGTCCCTAAAGAAAGCCGGCATTAAAGAAAGTGGAGATTAGTTATAAGTACAAAGAAATTCTCGCAATTTCGAAAGAAACTTACCAGGAAGCAATATTATAGGTTCGGCCGGTTCGTAGCCTTAACCGTTTTGAACCAGTCGGGGAACAGGTGTGCAGTGCAGGTTTCTTCGTTCTTCTTACGCCACCGGCGTCGTGTGTAATGTAGTATTCAAGGCCGCTAAAGCTTATTCATAAATCAGATCTCACTTTCATTCACATACTTGGCACCATCTATTTCTTTTTTTGGAATTGACTGAATTTGGAATTTTGTTATCATTATAAAACACTTATATAAAATGTATTATCAGAAGATACATGGAAAAAATGTAACATGTAACTTACATAATTTCTTAGAATATTTGGTAGTAATATATTGCATATTTTATGCTTGTTTTTATTCTGAGATTCTATTTAGTTTGATATTCTCTCAAAATTGTTTGTATTTCATTGCAATATGTTATGTAAAACGTATGCAAAAATATTATATCAAAATAGTCAAGTTCGCGTTATATAAGAGGTATTTTAAACATCGTGGTTAAAGATATTTATAACAAGTTTTTGAATAAAATTTTTAATGTGTCGCAACATTAAATATATTTTCCAATCAATCTTTTGATATTATATGTGTCATTTCTCGAAATTTTCAAGTACGTGTCGAGTACATATATATATATATATATATATATATATATATATGTTTTAAATATCTTGCAAAGATATATAATATTAAGCAATAATAAAATTCTAACGATTTTTTGCAAATGTTTTTTATGAGAATATGTTCAAATATGTACATAATCTGCAGTCGTGCACACAGTAACATTAATAATAGTTTTGCCATTTATCATTGCTAAACGATGTACTCTACACCCTACGTCTGATTGCGCAAATCCTTACAGTTAGTACGCACACGGGACTGGACTTACTTTCAGCGTGTCAAGGACACCAGTGACAGGTCCTCTCGGCCTAATTCCTTGCGATGAGCAGCCGATTTAAATCTCGCTAATATGTGACATTTATTCTCTGTAAAATACGTTCAGTTATAAGTCAGTTGCGACAATATATTTGCCTAACAAAAAAATACATATCAATTTAACCTACCGTTGTTATCATCTTATTATATATCTTATTATTATATATCTTATTATATATATCTTATTATATATATATATATATATCAACTGTTAATATAAATATAAACTTCTTATACTTTTCTTATTTTATTTTAGTTGCTATATTTTTAATATAAAATTTGTTGTAGAACCTGTATTATATCATAAGTAGAAGATTTTATGTAATGCAAGATAGTGTAAGTGGGAGGCCGGTGTCACACGCAACCGAGCCTCCGATCGATTTGGAATTTATTCCTTCGTTAAAGAGTACGTAACCTTCGAATGCCGAAAAAAGTCTATTTTTAAATGTTGATTTATTTTATGATAAATAATGTATTAAATATAATACATTTATACTGTATTATAAATAAATAATTATTATAATAATAATTTATATTGATCAGTACTTATACTGTTTTACAAAACGATATATTAAAAATTGTAAGATAACTCCACTGATTCTCTTAAAATTTTTCTACATATTTTTAAAATAATTATCTACAAAGTACGTCGGAAGCAGAATTGTAATACTATTTTTTGATTTTTATTTTATTTAAAAAAAAAGTACATTTTCATATTTTTAACACTTACAATTAATTAAAAAAAAATAAGAAGTTTTACATTTCTGCTACATATGCATATATATAATCTCTAATTCCTAGTCTAAGTCCCAAACATATATTAATTATTACCGGAGGCATACATCAGCAGAACCATTCGTGACGTCAACTTGCACAACGCTCGCCAATGGAAAGACGGTGAGATTTTCGTGCCTCTCAGAAAAGCATGCGAGAATAGACGCGTTGTCCTTGACACGGCGCGAACACGTCGGGCCCGATTCGTCCAAAGAATTTAATTCTTCAGACACCGAAAGTGAAACACAGTTTAGCTTATCGACGTGACTCGAAATTCTCCAATGAGTATCATTCTTATCTGTTTATATTGTCACAGTGTCTCGAATACATTATTGTTATATAATGTTGGAAATGGCTATCAAGTATGTGGCGGATTGTATGAAAATTATCATATATATTTAGTTTCACATTAGTTGTAAACTGATGTTGATCAACGATGAAATTCGTGCACTTCAGTTTTCACTGTACAGCTGTGATTTACAATTTCTCACTCTAAAGTTTAGTTAGTACTTTTATTATAAAGTTTGTTTATTTCTTTTAACAATGAATTAGCTTTCTATCGTAAGTTATTTGAATACATATATTGCAGTTTGGCTTAAAATATACTCACTTAAAAGTTAAAATAAAACTTTTGTATTTAGATTTCAAATACAAAATAAAACTTTCTCCCTTTAGTTACGTTAGTCTTATCTCGAGACTATCTTTTCTTTTTTAATGTTATGTCGGTAGTTACGTATACGATCAAAAAGATGTGGGAGCGAGAAAGGCTTAGCTTACTTTTGGCAGAGAAATTTCACTCATATGAGTACTAAGAGATTTTTTGTCAAAATCATTTATCACAATTTCCAAATAAATTTATACAGAATTATGCTTGATTATACCGTGACAATCACTCACGCATAATTACCAGCTGAGCACGCTTTCGCACTAGTCGCACACGTTGCGCAATATCATATAAATGAAACAGGTTTTTTCTCAGCAAAATCTATAAAACCATTTAGTTTTGGCAATGGTTCCTATATCATGTTTTGATAACATTGTTATATCAAATGTTTGATTAATTTCTTATATATATAATATGATTTCTCTTTTTAAAGTTTAAAAGAAATTCCGGAAATATATCAAAATTAAAAATAAAAAAATACATAAAATGTATAAATATATTTTTTTTTACAACACGATATATTTTTTACACACATACTTTTCTTTATTGTTTGTGTTTTATATCTCCTCTTTTCTAATATATGTTTCTGGAATTTCTTTTAAAAGTTAACTGTAATATTCCACAGTAACAAATAAAATTAAATATTGAATAGAAATTTTTAACAACTCTTTTCTTAAACAATCATTGGAAAAATGATTTTCATTTTTATTCTTATTTTCAAACGTTTGTCTTCGGACATGTCTCTTTCTTTCTATCTCTCTCTCTCTCTCTTTCTTTCTTAATAAATATATTATAAATAATTATTTATAGTACATAATAAATAATTATGTATAGTACATATTTTTTTAATATTATTAGTAAAGTAAATAAATATGTCTTTGTATATTGTGTGTACATAAAATACTTCAAACATTTCAGAAAAATTAACAGTCACTAAAGTAATAGTTGTTTGTTCTACATCTCGTGCAAGTTATTCACCTCTGAACATCCTTCAATTTCTAGTTTCTTATTCATAATCAATTTTTAACTTCGTCTTTTATATGATGTTTCGTCATCGTTCACATGTCGTCATCCAATGTCAAAATTACTTGGTCGTGTGGCAACGTAGTTTCTACTATTAGTTTAATCTTTCTTCTCAAAAGTATTATTGATATCTCGAGATAAAAGATAGAACACAAAGATAAAACACAATATATCTAATTTTCACGTAAAAAAGTTATTACTTTATACAACATTCCGTAAACAAATATAGATAAAAAAGGTACATAATTTTTTAATAACTATTAAGTAAGAAAGAGATTTTTAGGCTATGTGTTTATCTGACAATGAATCAAAACTTTTCGAGAATCAAGCTCGTTCTATTAACAAAGTATGATTCGCAATACAAGTGAATATATAAATTAAAACTAATAAGTTGTTGCAATGTGTATACAAGGTATACTTTATTTTTTTACGTAAATATTTTATGTATTTTAATTTTTTTATTATAAAAAATAACTTTACATATAGATACGAGTGAGTGAGAGAGAGAGAGTACTTGTGTATAAAAATAATAATTGTTATAAAAATCTCTTTTGGTGTGTGTTTGCACACATAATTTATAGTAATTTTATATGTATATTTAATATTCTCTCTTCTTTTTTTATATGTATATGTACTGATACTTTTACTGCAACTCATCTTCGCTTTTTTCACACTTTTATTTTGTAATCTCACTTTTTTAATCTTGTATTCGTACTGTTCGTAGATATCGACTTTTCCGGAAAAATCAAAAATATATCTTGATTTATGTCGTTCTACTTCTAATGTTAGCGTATTTCTTTACAATACAATTTCCGCAAGTCTGCTGTTTTTCTCTGCCTTTTTTGCGCGACGGATGTAATAATAGTAACAGTTTTTTACAGGCATCTCACGGAATGAAGATTCGTCTAACTAGACGACTTGTAGTATATCTCGTTCTCGTATCTCGCGGTCTCCTGACAATGAACTAGATAACGACAAGTTGCAATTTGTGTGTATGTGTGTGTGTCTAGGTTAGTAGTGACAACTTTATATCCACTTGACATATGAAATGAGATTGTTGCGGCAGCGTTTCTCATTCTTTGAAAGTAGCAAAACATAAATATAGGTAAGATGAGCAGCTCAACAATTTAGCAAAATTTCTTATAGAAATATTAATGGTTAAAATATAATGACTAGAATCAACAGACACACACACATATTTTTATTTATAAATATATCTTATCTGAAATTTATACTCTATCTGGTCGCAGATAGATAGCGAGTGCCGCTGTGCAACGGCGAGCAACGTCACATTCGATATTCAATGTTGCATATTTATCATCAGGGATACGTGGCAATGATCCACATAAATCTTTCATTGAGCCGTCATCCCTCTCCTCATTAAGCACGTCGATGAGAATTGAAATTGCATAGCTAGCTGGCTTTGACCGCAAAGGACGAGGCCGGACACGTGTAATAGATAAAAAGTAGTTAACTAAAATATCTTGCCAAAAGTTTACGTTAGACTCGTTAACGCTAGAAGAACAACATCATTTTTTCAGGGAATATCACCGGTAAAAACCAATGAGAAATTTCACTTATAAATCAGTAAAAGTTCAGCGATTTCTAAAGTCGATCAAAACATATAAAACGCGCGTTGATGTTACTCGAATCTTATATCCATGATTCGCGATCTATTTCGGCTTTGTATCGAAAATCGTTGCGCGCGCGCACGTGAGGACCTATAAATAAATCTCAACATGCCGAGAACGTAATCGGCGCAGCTCGTGGTTTTTCTGTTTTCACGATCAAGTTTGCCTGACCGAGAGGGGCTGGCTAGCCGAGCTGCTGACACTGGCATTGGCCTACTCTCTCCAGCGTCGTTCACTCTCCTACTTCGCACTTGTGTTCTCACTCTCTTTCGTTTCGTGTTGAGGACAAAACAACGCGCACGCGGCTCGCCTCTATTTTCCACTATCGCGCTTTTCTCTCTCGCTGCTCTTCTTCCGGACTCCGCTTTCCCTACCGCTCGATATAATTCAATTTCGTTCTATATTACGTTTATCGTGCTTAACAAAGAAAACGAAAACAATATATACATATATTCACTGTAAAAACGAACATTGAAATATATTACACAAAAGATTTTTTGAATGGTATACTACTTAAAGATTTTTAAACAATAAAATATTTTATATAAAAAACAAATTTTGGTAATGGTTTGTTTCTTTGAAACAAATATTCGGCAATTTGTAAAGAACAATTTGTCTTGTACTATAACAAAACTGAATAAATATAAATATAAAATTTCAAATTTCTGTGAATAAAAATAAAATTTGTAAGAAAGAATTTAGTAAATAATTAATAAGTAAAGAAATAGTTTAATATAAGTAATACACATCTGTTTAAAAGTACTTACTTCATCTTTTTTAATATTAGGTTTTACATTGCGAATTTTAAATGGAGATTTTACATTTAGAAGAGACTTACAATTAGTAAAGAAACTGTTTTAATACTTTTCTCTGTTTGGTAGACCAAGTTTCTGTGTAACAAATTCTTTGCAGACAATCAAAGTGAAGCTATATTAAAACCAATAGCATACAGTTAGTCTTTTCTATTAATATATCTAATCTTATTATCACGTATATATCTCGCTTTTTACCGGTATTAAAGTAATAAGTTTAATATTTAATAAATAGTTAAATAGTTAGAAGTCGACAAAAAAGAAGAAAAATGAGATATACAGAGAAGAAAGATACGCCTGGTGTACAGGTTGTCCGTCTTGACCTAGTTTTTGAAGTCGTTTGCTTCTTCGTGTGTTCACGAAGAGATCGAAGAAGAGACCGCGCCGTTACGAGCGCCGGGAGGACGCTTCTCGCTGATTCTGAACAGTGGAAAGCACCTCTCGTCTCCCTCTTCTTTAGCAGCCCTCTTGCTGATCATCTCTCACTCGTTCACGGCTCTCTCCCTCGTTCTGTTATGAAAGTGCAGCAAGTGGAGCGCGCCCGGTTCTGCAACAATAAAGCTATACTTTTAGTTATAACTGGCCGACTTATGTCGACGTGACTCAGCTTCACCAATAGATGAGAATGGACATTAGACGCAGACGTAGAAAAGAATGAAGAAGCCGCCGACACAGTGGAGCCTGACGGCCCACGTCGCGTCGTCATCGAAGTCGGATTGCGTGCGCGGATGAGAGAGTTAAAAAAAATAGAAGAGCGCATGAAAAGAGTACGAAAAATGTCCGCGGGAAAAATCTCGACAAGCCGCAATCAAACAAATGAAATAGTGCTTTCACAACCGTAGAAAAAATGCGTTTTTCTTTTGCGCCGATCCGCGAGATCAACATGTATATATATATGTATATGAAAGAGAGAAAGAGAGCGACGCAACCGGCACGGGAGAGCTGGATGAAAATACCAGATTTTTAACGAACTTTTCAACAAAAGTTCGGTAATTTGATGCAAAATGATGAATTCAGAATTGATAGCAGAACAGACTGGTGAGTTTCTTCGTTATACTGCGCTGCCTGTGAAATGAATATTCTGATAAATCAGTCGATTTAGCACCGATATTATTTATTTCGAACAATTAACGTGTATCAATGTAGTATTGAGCGGGATAGTTACCTAAGTGTAGGAAGTGCGTATCTGTAAGTTAAAATTATCAATAGTCAACACATATAATAAGAAACAACACATTAATAAGATACCTAAATATAATTAAAATTTGTTTCCAATTTACGTTTTTAAATAAAAGACTTTTTTCGTACAGAGATTCGCTTGTAATCAATAAAGGAACACATTTATAAAATATATCAAACACAGCAATCAGAGAGAGAGGAGAGAGAGAGAGATTATAACACGTTGTAAGAAGAACAGTTCCAATCGGCAGCTGTCAAAACAAATCTTTAATAACATGAGGCAATTACTAGACTTAAACAATCGACCGATAAGAATTTCTGAAAATGGTTTTCGGGTTTAAGTCGTGTTAGTGTTATTTTTTTATATCAATATGTAAACATTTCAATTCACTTTATCAAAAGTTCGAGAGCAGCTTGATACTTTTTAGTATCAAGCTGTCTTTGAATTCGATACTTGTCAGTACTCAATAATTTAAGTACTGACAAAATATCTGTTGAAAAGTTCCGGAGCGTAAAAAGTATAAGAAATCACAATATGTATTTCGGATGACTCGCAAAAGCATCATCATCAGAATTCTTTTTAAGCGGCTAGAGAAAAGCGATAGAATCGAAAGGAAGTTCAAGAGAAGCTAACTAGCGCGACGGCGTTAGTCGCGCACTTATTAGGGAATTGCACTTTCTTTCACGGTTGGCGCGCCGAGGACGACCGAAGGTGAGAAGAACGAGGAAACCGACCTGCGGTGCAACGACCCGCTGCGAAGTATGTCGGTTGTGGGCGCACGCAATCGTCGCAACGATTTTGAAAAATGGCCGTCCTACTTTTGCAAGGGAGTACTTTCACGGTCGCTAACCCCGCGACTGAGAAGATCGCGCTCTCGACACACAACGAACACTACCCGCGCTTTTACGCCGTAATATCACCCGGGTTCACGGACTCTCTCAACGAAGACCATTCTTACCTCCTGTCGTAAACAGCAATCGTTATCTAGCGGATGATATCAGCGACGTAGAAAAAAACGCGATTTGGAAAGAAACGATTGATCATAATATATCGAAGAATCAAGTAAACGATTGACAAAATGGAGAACTGTTAAAGAGATCTCTAACTTAGTAAATTGATACCTATTATTAGTCTATCTCTTTAGAGGTAAAATAAAATCAGAGACTGGTTCAAATAAATTACCGGTTATTGGTGTCATATAAAGAACTACTATGTGAATTAATACAGCAAATAAAAAAAAATCAGGATTACTTTCTCTTTAACCTAAATCGATGCAGATGCAATGTTTTATTTCATCAATCATAATAGAGAGAGAGAGAGAGAGAGAGAAAAAAACTACACAGAAAGTTAGAACGTTAATAGTGCTAAGTGTGTGCAATTGGTAAAAAAATATGTAAAAGTGTAACATAAAGTAACAATAATAATTTAAATACCACAACTATTATATAATTACTTATATGATTGTATATATTTTTACTGAAATAATTATATTTTTGTATTAAACAAAGATTTAGCGCGTTAAAAATGTATGCGTTTCTTTTGTAAAAAAGAAGTAAGCGTCTTTCTTGTCTGAAAATGGATCAATAGAAATTTCTTTAAGCATATTTATTACAACTCAAGAAAAAGTGTGTGGAAAATCGATTAGCAAATTATAAGATTGCCATCTATCAAGATACAAAAACTACGATCCACTTCTGCATCTTGTCAAAATGATTCAAGTGCATCGTGAATCGTCGACGAGAATCTTCTTGTTCACACCGTTTCCTGCCTCTCTCTTGATTTACCTGAACCAGCTTGCTCGCGCGCGCGCACCGATTTTTCGTCCTAGGTGATATTACCGGGATTTCCCTCGGTTTCTCGACTTTTATCCTCGCGCGGGATCACCGTTCACGGGGCCCACTTTTCACCGCGAATTCTCACGATATCATGCTCGGAAAGTAGCGAAAACGTGCTCGAGGATCTCTTTCCCTTCTCCGTTGCGTCGGTCGATGCTCGAGAGGATCACCGGCCGGCTTGCTTTTTCACAGGCGGCCGTGCACGGGATAAAACTGTCATCTCGAAAGTTGGCCTACTATCTCCCCGATCGCGATAATAGCCCCCGCAGCCTTCCTTCTCTCTTAGCGACCGACGTCAATAATCCTTACTAATGTATGTCTACATAGAAAACCAACACTGTTGTGTATATATAACGCATACATTTGATACGCGAACTTCATGCTAAACAATTTCTGTTGCACAATATTACGCGATCGAGATAATGCAATATTACAAAGCTGCTATATCTATTACAAATGGAAATTACCAGACTTATTTCGAGTCGTCCTCGGAATTGTTCTCTCTTCTCTCCTCGCGTCGACAAGCGGATGCAAATGCGTGCAGGTCGTGCCATGTGGCACTTACCGCATATTCTGAACGATCTCTTCGTACGACCTTGACACGCTTGACACAGAGACATCTTCAATTCTCAAACGGTCAATATATTGCTGAAATTCTATTACATATCAAAAGACTATACTTTAACATGAAAAAGACTATTGTCATGTAATTAGCCAAAAAACCTGCATAGTTTTTCAATCTTTACATTGTTTATATCAGGATTTATGAATGTAATACTTGTATGTATCATTAAATTTTCAATGCAAGACAAAATAAATTATTGTTGTAGCAGAAAATATGCTTTTAGGATGTTAATTTGAATTTTAAACCAAGACTAAAAACTTATTAATCATTTTTGCAAGAATTTTCACAAAAATTGTACCATTAATTTTGTACGCGTAATTGTTATAAAGTGAAATTGTTTGTTTGATTGTAAAAATCGTGCGAGAAACAAAGAGAATCTAAACGTATTAAACGACTTCTCGCATGTTAACGTTTGTCACGTGTTTCTTGGCGATTATCATCTTTCGATGTTCGCGATTATACTCATCGTTGTCACATTTGTGCGAATTACTGAGTAGATTATGTAAATAACTTGCATTCTTACTTCAGAATTCAGAGAATCAGTCATTCCCTGAGATTGACATTAAAGCGCACGCAATCCCAACCGTATTTGACTTATATCGGACAATTTAGTTGACGTGAAACCATCTCAGACATATTTAACAAAAATATGTTGTTCATAAAATTTTTCTAAATAAAAATCTTTTGTTTGTTGTTTGTTCTTACAATGAAAAAATGCCAAGTTCACAGCCTAGTTTGCATTACATTTTGTAATCGTACGTATATAGTGACGCAGTATGCGACGAGGGTGGAAACGATCCGCGAAGGATCGTCAAGGGAAAACTCGACAACAAAGAGCGACGCAGGCGCGTGTAGCAGTCCGACAAGGATAACAAGATTAGTGCGGGTGCGCGTCTGCAGTGCATGCGCTGCTGCATTAACGCCGTATAGTACCGCAACCCGCCACTCACCGCCGTCTCGGCGCCACAGTCTCTCTCTCCGCATGTTCGGAGCCGGCTGACAAGAGCCGTTCTGTATCCTCTTCGACGTGTGTGCTTACTCTATAATTCACCTCCTCCAAAATGGTAAGTCAATGAAACAAAAACTCGTCAGATTAACGTGTCGTTATCGTATATAAGTTATAAGGTAAGAAGTAATAAGGTTATAAGACACGTTTGTTTCTCTGAAGTTTTCAAAGTAGTTTAGTCAAAAAAATCTTCGAAAAGGTTTGTAAAAAATATGGTTTCGAAAATAATATTTAGAGTAATTTTGGAATCTTGTGAATGATGCCGCGCTGTTTTGCGATATTGTGTGTGCGTGAAAGGTCGCGTGATGAATAGATATACTACAGCTGCAGTGTGTCGTCTGCTGCAGTCATCTGATTTACTCGCGATTGGTTAGTTGCATATAACGAAAATTAGGTAGACAGAAGTAAATCGTATGCAGTTAAGCACAGAATTCGTGTCAAAGAACGATTGACGCAGTGTTAAAATTGTGGTTTCCGCTCTGATGTGTTTAATGCGCCGTGTTTTAATGACAGGAAGAAATGACGGAAATCGTCGTGGATTGGTACGTGATCTCACGGTTGCAAAATTTACCGCGCGATCGCAGCACGTGACGGAAAAGCCCCTTGAGTATAGCCAATATTTTTAGGCGTATGACGCATTTAAAACAATATCGACTTTTTCTATTTTTTTGTGTCATTATATGTTTTATGCGTGGATCGTTTTGTATAATTTTAAATCACAGATCATAAAATCTTATTTTTAGCATTCGTTTGTGTATAGTTACATAACTATTCTCTCTTTTTGTATAAATACATTTTATATCATATTCTACAGAAATACACATTATGATGTTTTATTATATATGATTATTTATTTAGAACAAAAAACTAAGTTTGCAAGTGAAATTATACTTCAAACACTTGTAACTATGAATTGTCTACGAAATCATCAACATGTATCCGCATGCGAACGTATTGATCATACAATGAAATATATACGTATTATTCGCGAGTGTTTGCACGAATATTCATTCGAAATAATCAAAAAACAAAATTCTCGTCTCGTAAAACGTTTTCCGTCTTTTAATATGAATATATTTGTAGAATAATTATTCTACAAATCATCTACATATCATACAATCATTCTACAATACATCTAGAATTGGATTATTGATATTTTCTTTTAGAAAAAGTGAAAACTAGCTTAAAATACTATTTTCGGCGAAACATATTTTCAAAGTAATACAAAACGTGACGTAGCTCAAACCGACTAGTCACAAAATTGATACGCTAAATTGCAACAAATTAAAAAATTTTTCAAAAAAATTACATACTAAAATTAAATACTCATTTTTATATTAATATTGTAAGAAAATCATAAAAAATGATTTTCTTACAATATTAATATAAAAATTTATGATTTTTTATGATTATAATAAAAATATATATCTATAAAAATATCTAATACGTATATAAGTTTTTGAAAATAATATTAGAAGAGTCTTATAGAGAGAGAGATATATAAATTTATAATTTCTTTATATATGTATATATGTATATATATATATGTATATATGTATATATGTAATAAAATTATTTACAATTTTATAAAACTCTAAAAGCATTAAATTTTATTTAAATTCACAAAAAAACTCACATATTAATGTCATCAGTAAACTACTAATAATTAATAGTGTTGTATATATTATGTTACTCCACATCTAAATATAGTAATATAAATACTTATTTTATTCGTAAAAGTTTGTCAACAATATACTGCCAGTCAATAGCACAAATCGATAATATCATGATGCCTTTAAAGTGTATTTATACCGTCACACAAGACTTAATCGGATTAACACTAAAATAACAGATTTCAAGTTATACTAAATATAACCAACATATATACTGCGTAATCAGTTGTATTGTTACTAATAGATTGTCTAATAGAAATAAAAACTTGCTTATTTAAAATCTATCGCGTGTTGTTTTATATATTGTACACAAGAAAAAACTTTACGTTATAAACGTTGCATTTTATTTGTTCATAAATAAGCACAAAGATTACTGTCGCATACGGATATCATAATATGACCTCAACGAAATTACACCAGTATTAATGCTTGCTGTATCATCGATAATATTCGTGTAACACATCACTGTTACGACAAACCAAACATATGCGTGTTTAGTGTTACATAGAAAATATCTAATTTTGTATTATAAGATAATAAACAAAATATATTCAGGTACTTGCGGATGCGATGTCAGCGGACAATCACCGTCACCGTACCTTCACGGCGAACGGTAATCAAGAAGGTATTACGATATGCAACTTGATAGACGGCGAAACCTTGACTTACAGCTTGGCTCTGATAAGAGGTCGAGCACCTGCATTATGCAATTATATTACCGTTCGCGGTCATAAGAACGTTACCTCGGAGTGGCCGATTATTGCGGGACAATTCCGCGTATTGGTGGATCTGGCACGCGGTCCGAACAGATTAGAACTTGAGGCAGGCGGACATAAGAGAAGAGTGATCCTAGTATACGAACCGAGAACTACCAGACTACGAGTGACGCCGGTCTATGTCATTTGTGCAGGTCACGATGGCTATTTTCAGGTAGAGATATAGCAACAAAAAGATAAAAGTTTTTCTCTTTTTTCAAACAACATATGATCTCTCTCTCTCTCTCTCTCTCTCTCTCGTAATTGCTTTTTACGTGATTAGATACTTGAAGTCTCAAACATGCGTTTACAATTGTTTTTACAAATAACTATGCATTGGTGAATGTTATTACATACTTGACGATAAAGACGCTACTACATCTCTAGATAAGTGATGTATTTATAGAGTGTATATATAAACAATGTGGAAAAAAATAATTTTGATTCACAGTTTTAGTCGCTTGAAATGTAGTAGCATGCACTTCTACTATTGATCGTTTTATTGCACAAACAGCCATCTTATCTTATCTTATGTATCCAGGCGCGATAGTTAATTTCTCTTTGTTATTTAGTTTCGTGAATCGATTGGAATTTTGCAAATCTACAATAATTACATAACATCAATTTATTCATCTGATTTTATCTGTGTTTTTAGGGTCCACGCAAAGAGGATCGATCACCTGAAAGTGCGGCGACTAGAATAGGACTCGGCGCCAGACTTCTTCAGACTCTGACGGCCGAAAAGCTCCAGGAAGCCGGTTATGGTAGAAAAACTTTCCAATTAGAAAGAGATTTGGATGGTCCAGAATGTTTGGTAATGCATAGTATGCTTCACGTGGATCGAGCACGTTCGATGAAACAGAGAGAACTTTGGGAATTAATCGCGCGCGAGTTAATGACTGGTCCTTTAGCGTCTAGAGATCGCAAATACTTAGCGTTTTTGTCCTGTACGAGATACCGTGGTGCACCTAGTCCTCGAACGCACGAAGATACTTTAGCAAGAACACAAGGTCACGCCGCTCTCGGCGGTGGTGGTTTAGCGCTTTTTGGTTCGGCATGCCTTCACACATGGCCTACATGTATGGCTCAGGTAGGTTGACAACACGTCTTGAACCAGCGAGAAACTTTTGTTTTTTTTTTAATCAAAATCGAAGATATAATGAGAAAAATAAATGTTATATAGAACTAAATGCGCGGATATTGATGCATATTTAATATACATTTATTTATACATAAAAAATATCAAATTTTCCAAAACTCGCACAAATTATACGTTTAGGAAGTAATCAAAATGTCTTAAGTAATGTAATTTTTGGCGCAATTTTTCACATAATAAATATATATTTTGCGCCAATATTTGGATTTATTTATATATTTATTTCTTTTATCTTTGATTATATATCTTAGAACATCAATTGTTTTTGTTTTAATTATTTTGATATTAATCAGATATGCAAATAATAAATATTTTTTATCTCAAATTTTTCGAGTTTTTTCTCTTAAAATAATTTTTAAAAATCAAAAAAGTGATATTTTTAAAACAGATTATTAATGCGTGCCGCTTAGGTATTACCGAGATTTCTGGACACTACTGTCGTTGACACGGAACAACTCATGGACGATAGCAATTATCGTGGCACGCATGGTGGCTGTTTGGCAACAACATTAGGTTCCGTTTTGCATGAACTTGGTCACACTTTTGATCTTGGTCACACTCGAGAAGGAATAATGGGTCGAGGATTCGACTATGTCGATAGGGTTTTTGTGGGTGCTGCCGGAATAGATTTCAATCGTAATCCGATCAGAAGGGATCCCCAACACACGATTATCGCTCTTAGCAGACCACTCAGCGTTACGGTAACCGTGCAAGAGCTTGTGCTCTCAAGTCCACGAAGAGGTAGATTACTCTCGGAGACATCTAGACCTTCGCCATCGCCTAGTACAAGACAATTGCCTGGAAGGCTTTCGGCACCAGCTAGTCCTGAGCTCAATAGATCTCTTTCTAAGAGTCTGATTGCCTCGGAACCTCTTTCACAACCTGATCGGACATTTTGGGGTCCGTCATGCGCAGCGTTACTCGCTTATCACCGTTGGTTTAACAGCGAAATAGACAATCTTTCCAATAGGCGTCATCATGAAATAGAGTACGATGGAAAAAGGTGAGTCTACTCTTCAAGTCATAATAAATATATTTTTTAAGTCTTATTCTTAAAAATTATTTACTTTTTTTATATTTCTCCTAGTAATATATTCGATCAAATCAAACAGCATTTTTCACGATTGTTTTTCTTGTAAGAAACGTGGTGAGATCGCGATATGGGGTACGAGTTATAGAACTTAGAGAAACGTCGGGAGGAATGGTTGTGGGATCTCGTCAATTTCCTGGCTCACGTCCACCTTTGGAGACTTTAGTTCCATCACCTCCGCCCCACTGCCTCACTACTCTTACCCTCGTTGCCGAAGACTCTACCGGGAATGTGCTCAAACATCTTCTTCCCACTGCCTTCTAAAGGTTAGCAAAAACAGTGATGTGATTTTTCTGCTGGCAATGGCGAAGATTATTAGAAGTCACAAGCAATATAAATTATCGGCTTAATACATTACATATAAAATATAATATATAAATTATCTAAAAATATTTTTGTTTTTTAAATTTCTAATTTAATTTATTAAATGTTTATTTAGGTATTTTAATTAAATATGTATAGAAAAAAACGCAAATAAATTTTATATTTATATTTCTTATACAAACACTAATTATATTTGTTAATAAAATCCGTAAAGATAAATCTAAAATAGATATTTTTAGATTATATGTATGTTACCGATACCAATTACATATGATACCGATGATAAAAGTATGAGCAAGATATTTACAAAAAACAATATAGTTATAAATATCATGATTTTTATTAGAGTATATTACATTATAGTACATTATAAAATGTTTTTTAGTTATATATAGTTATATATACAATAACATTACGTTCAATTTGTTTCTCTACCTCTAATTGTTTTTGCTTAGATTGTTATGATCACAACAAGTATTATACTGCCATTATACAATAACCTTTGCTTTTGAAACTGTAGTACTTCGATTAGATGCAAAAGAATGTATGAGACCATTTATGTACGAGATTTAGAAGTTTTACCGGGTTTATACATTATTTTTTGCTTTACTTGTGATTTGTTTTGTTACAAAAATTCTAACGGAAGAGTTTTAGATATTTATGTTATTTATGCATACAGATACAATTTTGAAGATGCAATTGTTTTGTATACAGCAGAAAATCAAATAAGAGCTTTGTATGTACGTAGACATACTTCTATAAATGATGTAGAGATTTTATATGACGTAACAGAAAAAGTATATAAATCCGTAGTTATGAACGAAACATATTAGATAACTATATGAAGTATATTTTGCTCATGTACAACACTTTCCATGTTGTCGAATATGCAGGGAACTACTTTATAATAATTTATTTTATAAACACATGATCTCTAGTATTTTGTGAGCTATAATTCCGATTCCTAAAAAAGTAAATTGTTATAATTAATCGATAACATGTAAAATGTTATGTGCACAAAACTGACAAATATGATGAATATATATTTACATAACATACATATGTGTGTGTGTGTGTGTGTGTATGTAAATATATGTATATATACACATACATATATACATACATACATATGATACTAATAAAGACGCTTGTATGACTATATAGCGGAAATTTCATAGAATTATAATATGCGCAATTATATACTCTTATATATATATACATATATATGAGTAGTCTTATAAAAAACAAAAGATAGAATAAATTTCAATCAAGTCGCTAAAATAAAAGCAAACATTCTTGTATGTTATTAAACATATGTATAATATTATCAAACTTTATTTTTATTATAAGCTAGATTTTAATATATACCAAAAAGTACAGAGACAATATTATATATTAACTCTGCCGGCAAGAAAACAACTATGTAAAAGCTATGTAAAAAGCTATTAAATTGCATATATATATATATATATAAAGTTACGCTTAAGACACATGAATTTTTTATTCTACCAATTTTTTCCTGTTATGTACGAATATATATTTCTCTGTATGATATTGTTTTGTTGGAATTCTCACATCATCTAAAAAAGTGAAAAGTATTTTATGTATTTTTATGTCTTTTCGGTTTCTTCCTCTATTGTAAAAACAGCAGATAGAAGTAAACCAGTAAATATTCCTTTCTCTAAGAAAATTTCTTTTTTCGTTAAGAAAACATCTCTTATTGTTAATTACTCAGTAATTTCAAACTCGAGCAAAATCATCCGCTTTTTATTTCTCCTTATATAAAATAAGATATAAATGTTGACTCGCCAAAAATTTAGAATCGCCGAGAATCGATAGTTTTGATCTATTTCAATAGGTCTGTTCTTTTTACCTGAACTGGCTACACTAGTTCAGAGTTTATCTTTCTTTTTCCAATGTCGAGTGAAAAAGATAAACTAGTGCAGCCAGTTCAGGTAAAAAGAACAGACCTAATATTACGAAAAAATTCTGGATAGACTTTGCAAAAGCACGAGATTCATTGATGTAAATATTCGAGAATGAGAGAAATTATAAGCAGAACATAAATATTTGTATATTTGTATATTTCTCTATACATTAATAAACGTACGTCAATTGTTCAACTCAAAATAAATTGTACTATAATCATTTGTTTAATTAACTGTTTGTGTAGTAGTGTTACCGTATTCTTCTAGAAATTTTTTGATTCTCTATATGAGTGACTTCTAACCTTAAATGCACATAATATGATATTATGTACATACATACATATTATAATGACAACAGGCAGCATTTATTACTTCAAATTATGCACGTGCAATGATATTCCGGAGTGAATTTGATATAATTATTTCAAGTGTTAAGTAGTGATAATTTTTAAAAAACAATCAACAACCAATCACAAGCGTGTCGCAGCGTTTTTCTTTGTGTTTCCTTTTGTTTTTTTTTCTGTTAGTCGCTTTGAGGACGCCGTCAAGTGAAGTTGCGTTAAACGACAGATACGCTGTGACTAGTGAATTACTGATATTACAAAGTCGTTCAACTTTTATCAGATCGTTGTACTATTATCGTTTATTTGATATTTATACTACAGTTAAACAATTGAGTGTTGTTTTGTTCAAATAAACATTATTCAGAGAAGTGATCATAAACATGACAACGCTCACTGTCTATCTCTTTTCCACATGACCGATCTCTTTTAAACAATTTCAAATATCTAACAAAATGTCATCCTCTGATTCGATCGTTCACGAAAAAGTTTGCACAGTAAAATCCGACAACAAAGTGCAATTTCCTGAAATAGTTGACGATAAAATTAACACTGAAGAATTTTTGCAAGCATCTCGTGATGTTGTGCACATACTTGGTACGTATACACGTTTTTATGTAACTTTAACCTTAAATTATCCAAAAATTTATTATGTGCCAACATGTCATTTTACCAAAATGTATTCCAAAAAATTGTTAGTTCAATCAAATTGTAAATATGAAATGCTGCAAGCATCTGAAGTAAACGTGTGTTCCAGATAAATTTGGCAAATTATTTGCTCCTGTACGATATGACATGCAAAAAAACATTAATGTAAGTATCTTGTATATGTGTGACAGACAATATCAATAATTATATAGAAACTTTTTCAATTATATATCTTTTTTTCATATCTACAGAAACTCGCAATCAGATATTCCACAGATAAAAAGAGTAACTTGACTTTACAAGACATGATCTTGCTTGAAAAATCTACTGAAAAAGATCTTGTTGCAGTTGATGCTTTAATGTGGTTAAGAAGGTATTAAACAATGAGCCTTAATACTTATTAGTATCTATCACTCTAATCACAATGCAAATAATAGTTTTTCTCAAATAACAGGATGTTTTGTCAGTCTATAACAAAACAATGAATTGTCTATAAAAAAAAAACAATGACAATTCTTTCATATGCTTGTATACAACTGTTGTTCACTGGCTATAATTTTCTAGGGCTTTGCACATGATTTTATTATTTTTTGAAAGAATTATAGAAGATCACAAAGCTGGGAATGCAACAGAGGATTTAGTTGCATTTTTAAGAAAAGCATACAAAGAAACTTTGGAACCATATCATGGTTGGATGACACAACAACTATTTAATGTAAGCTTATAATCCATATTTTATCTTATATGTTTTAAGAGTTTTTTCGAGTTCGTTAAGTTTCAAGATATCAATGTCAAATTTTGACGGGCATTTCAAATTACTTGCAAAGTGTGAGTGTAAAATACACAAATAAAATAAATAGTCCACTTTATTGTTTTAGTGTCATCTCTCTCTCTCTCTCTCTCTCTCTTCAGAATTATCTATTAACAATATTACAATTATTTATTATTCATTAGAAAAAAATTGAAATATATATTATTAAATAAAAACAAAATAACATCAAAACAATTAATTCGCATATGGATTTTTATACATATATAAATTATATAAAAAAAACTTTGTCTTTTCATATTTTTGTATTGTTACAGCTCTTATCGCGAATGACACCCACTCGTTCACAGCTCTTACTAGCACTAGCAGATGGTGAAGTGGGAAAAGAAGAAATTACATTATATAACATGGAATTATCTTTGATAAATCTTAAAAAAAATGTATTAACTTTAAAAACATTTTATGATGATCATAATCTAGAAATTACTACTGTAGTATAATGCTAGTATTAAAATTTAATGTTACCTTTATAAATACACAAAAAGTATATACATATATATGATATATTAATAATTTAATATTATAAAATCTCTATATCGGAACTCAATAAACCGTTACATATTACGATCACTAATTCCGTATAACTGTGCAACATAAAATCTTCTAGCATTATAATTTGCTGATTTTTTTAAAGTTATTGTTGTTGTTATGATTTCTATGATAACCAGAAATAACATGATACTAGTAACTATTATTTCACCAAGATAAGGCTTCGGTTCCCGATCAATAAGAAGATATGTTGCCAAAGGGAAATCTATGAAAGTAGATATTAGCCAAAAGCATGCCAGTGCTGGAATCTGCACAGATATACACAAAAAGTATTTTTTCTTATTTCATCATTTAATTTATTTACTACTTACTCGAATAAAATAAATAAGCTACCTGTTCCTTCAAATTTCCAAGATATCCCAGAAATAGTCGTATAGGTTCAAACATATGTATAATAACAAGTACTGTTACAGATATAGATTTATATATATCTGTCAAATGTTCATACTATAAGAAACAAACAATATTCTTGTATTTTTATTATTTTTAAACAAAACTTTCAAAACCATGTTTTCCATATTTACTTTCTCATACAAGTCAATAATCATTACAACAAGCCATGCTGGATATATCCATACATTAAAAACTAAAGCTACTTGAAGCGGAAAACTAGATAATATTTGATTTCCTGTAAAAAATAAATAATCAGAAAAGCACAACAAAAAAATTTTAATTAAATTATTTGTCTAATAAAGAGAATTGATTATATATAACTACTTTTCTTTATTATGTCAGTATAAGTCTAAAATTTGTAGAGAAAATTAGTTAGATATCAAATTGAATAATGATAATAAAAGTATTAATAACATATACTTTGTGCAAATGCTGTATCTCTTGATATATATTTTACAGATTATACAATTTGGTAGTTTTCCTATTAAAAAAAATAATCAATAAATAACAAACAAATTACACAGTGCATACCTATATTGTAAAATTCTCTTTTTCGATTATAATCTGCCAACCCGGGAAATATATAATTTGTTGCTTCGATTACTGTTGTTCTATACACTCCCATTTTTAATATAACATCAAATTTTTACAAGTGAATAAATTTAAATATGTATACATAGTTCAAGAATGTCCGATTACATAGTCGAAGTTGAAAGTACCCGGGAGGACAATTCTCTGTATTATAAATTATTAGCTATTTTGGTTTGGTTTAGTGCAGATATGACTCAGTGAATCAGTAATGTTAGTTCATACGCCAGTCTGTTAACCAGTCTATTATCAGAGAGAAGACTGATTGTGAGATCGGCCAGACTTATAAAAGAATCTGTAATTGGCTTTTCCGCCCTGTAAGCCAGCGCAATGTCCTTGGATGGTGCTTAGTGGCAACTACGTAGACTATGTCCACGAACGACTTGTCGGTACATACGTTATGTTCAAACGTGGACATGGTTCTATTCCGCGCTATGTGCACAAGTCTAATAGACCTGACCGCTCTGTCTTCTTTCTAATGATATATAAAACTATGTATACAGATGTTTTAAAAAAAGTAAGCAAAAGTAATCTCAGACTCTTCAAATAATCTTACAAATTGCAAGAGTTTGATGATATAGTACTACATCTCATTAAAATTAAATGGTAAGAAAACAAAAAATTACAACTGTTACATCTTCAATGTGAGAGGAGACCAAAATATTGGTACAAAATTTTATACATTCTTTATTATTTTGTTTCCCTCATGATTTACAGTAATATTTGATGAACATATAATAAAAGTTATATCTTCTTAATGAACAGTAACACATGTAAACCCACATCAATTCTGTAAAACTTAAATAGAGAATACATATACACTTTTATTTACAAGTATAAAATATTCTTTTGAAATCTCAAGCATTATAAAAAAATTTCAACCAGTTCAGAAATTATTATAATCATTTATGCACACAGTAAGTCAAATTTTTTCTTTTACTACATAAGTGTGCAATCATTTCTTTCCAGACTTTTTTATACCACCGGTGACTAGAGGACCTCTTTGACTGGCTTTTTTTGCTGCCTCAGCCAGTGCTTTTTGCTGTTCCTTTTGCTTTTGTTTAAAAGCCACATCTTCTTCATCTAAAACTTTTGTTTCTTTTTTTGGTGCCTTAAGAGGCTTTTTCTTACCTCCTTCTCGACCAGACATTCTGAAATATATAAAATAATTGCATATGTTTAAGTAATAAGTAATTATGTATATAATTGTTTGGAATAAAAACATAGTTTTGAGATTGTCACGTCATATTGAATCCAACCTCCCTCCTGAGAAACCACAAAATAATCCGATATAAATAACATTTATTTTATAAATAAGAAATCAATATCATACTTTTGTGTATACTATTAAAAATCAACATAAGAATTACAGAAGACTGTACCTATATATCGCGAATATTTTCAGAACTACATGATATTCCGATATCTGATTACACTGTGAATTGAACTTCTATTCTCGTGAACATTGCAAAATATTGCATTGATATATAGATACTTACTTCATATGCACACCTATGTAAAATGTCAAAGTAGTGTTGCACGATAAAGATATAAACGAGAAAATTTGGGAATTTTATATAAGACGCAAACGGTCGCGGTTAAGTAGTACAACAAATTTCTCGAGATGATAAGTGTATCAATTGCGTTGGTTTGGTTTGGTGCGCATATGGCTCCTAGAACGGTTAGTCCATACGCCATTCTGAAACTAGTTTACATAGAGCTGAATGATTGGCCACTGCAGCCGGGAGTAACTCGCCACTTTTTCTGATTGGAGTATATACAGAACGGGGGAAATAGCTTTCCCCAAAACGGCGCATTTGATAGTATTGGAGTGTGTAAAATGGAAGAGAGTTGCAGCCAAAGGAATTTAAATAAGGATAAGATAGGGATTTAAATGTGGAGAACATTAAGAGCCGTCTACAATGGAGAGTTGTAGGCCGTAATAGTAAGAAATTGACAAATCACAATCGATTATTCTTCTGTACTTTGTCTGTGATTGGTCAATTTCTTACTATTACGGCCTACAATTCTCCATTGTAGACGGCTCTTAAAGGGCTTCTACAATGAGATAAATCAGAAGTCAAAAGCAAGAAATTGACCAATCATCACAGTCAAATCACAGAAGAATAATCGATTGTGATTAGTCAATTTCTTGCTTTTGACTTCTGATTTATTACTGATATCTTATTGTAGAAGGCCCTTTAAATTAACCACTCACTACTCATAAGCCGGCATTCTTTCGTAGTTTGTTCTTGGCTTAATGTGTGTTCTGATAATACATATTGGAAAACTTAATTTATAGATGTCACAATTGTCAATATTTTCACTTGTTGATTTCTTGTTTATTTGTCTGATATAAAATGTTTGCAATAATTTCATACAAATAAAAAACAATTTTTATGAAATCTTTCAATTTGTTTTGTAGTCATATCATTGACATTGACAAGTGAAAGGAATCAATTTTTGGAATTGTTTATAGATCATGTTATTTACGCTCTATATTTACTGTTCTATATCTAATGCTTGAAAAAATTACTATTTGTCACTGTTATTTGTGTCACTTGAAAAATTTTTATGTTATTATCCTTAGGATTGCTACACCAAATTTATTAGCGTGTCAATATGATACCTAAAGTAGAATTGATCGCTGCAGCATGTGAAAATATGGGTATTGGAATAAACGGTAATTTGCCCTGGCGTTTAAAGTAAGATTTTTTATTTTTACATAAGATCATTTTTATATTAGTGAAATCAACATTATTGAAATCTCAAGAAAGACATTCATCTATAAACCAATTTTTACAGGAGTGAAATGTCGTTTTTCACTCGCATGACAACAAGTACGATAGACAAAGATAAAAAGAATGTCGTACTTATAGGGCGACGCACATGGGATAGCATCCCTGAAAAGTACCGGCCTCTAAAAGATCGCATTAATATGATTTTAACATCACAATCATTGTAATTAAGAAAAAAATTGCAACTCTTCCAAACAATGTTTTAATAAGATTATTTAAATTATAATAATAAATATTAAATAAAATATTCAATTTTTTAGGAATTACGGAGACAAAGTGATAACATGTAAAAGTTTATTACATGCTTTTGAGATAATTGCAAAAATGCAGAATCAAATAGAAAGGGTATGGGTTATAGGAGGAAGTAGTGTATACAAGGTATTTTTATTTGTATTTTTTAAATCAAGCACTATAGCAGTGTGCAAATAGATTAATATAAATTTAAACTAAAGATTTTTAAATTTTTTATAATGTATTATACATGCAAGCGCACACACACACACACGCTCTCTATCTCTCTAGTGGATCAATAATCTCATACATAATTTTAATTAGAGCGCCATGGAATCACCACACTTCAAGCGATTGTATCTAACACGTATAAAGAAAGAATTTGAATGTGATACATTTTTTCCACCTATTCCAAATGATCTTGTGTTAGTGCGGTACGTATTCTTTTATATATTTGATATTTTGAAGAGATCTGCATTGAAAAGTGTTTCACAATGTTTCAAAATATTCTAGAGACCCAGCTGTACCACAAGGTATACAAGAAGAAAATGGAATTGAGTTTATATATGAAGTATATGAAAGACAATAACAGTCAATCTCAATCTATTTCATATATCCATTCTATATGACAAAATCTACATTCCATATAACAATCATTTAAATTTATACAATATATTAAAAAATTTTTTTTTTTGCAATATTCTTTCTTTTTTATGTAAATTTGTAATAGTGTAATAACGTAATAATAAAAAATAGGATAAATATATTTCTCTGGTCTTGACAGATCCATTATTTTAGAAAAACTGTTGAAATAGTTAATTGAATGAGTTACTATAGTTAATAACTTAAATAATAGAATATATCAACTCTGCACATACTGGCTCTGATATACTTCTATTTAATAATATTTACATAATTTACCATCGTTATTCATAATATTCATTCTCGTAAGAATGTATATTATTTTTTCACACAATTTTGTAAAAAATTGAAAATTACATTTATTTTTAATACTTTATTTATAACAGATTAAAGATACAAATGTTCACATACTTGTTAGTATAACATTATACATATGAGCAATAAGAAATTAGCCAGGTGGCCATTCCAATTGTCGGTCACCAAGAACATGCAAGTGGAGATGATACACAGACTGTGCGCCATGTTTTCCGTCATTGACAACTAAGCGAAATCCATTTGTTAAGCCTTTTTGTTTTGCAAGTTTTTGTGCAACATTCATTAGATGACCAAGTAAAGGTTCATCCTCATCTTGGGCCTTAGACAGTTGTGGAATAGCTTTCCTTGGAATCACCAAAAAATGCACAGGTGCTTGAGGATTTATATCATCAAATGCAACACACTGTAAAGTTTAAATATATTTTTACATTAATTGAAATTAATTTAAACTTAACTTAACTTAATTAAAATTAAGTACAAAGTATGATATCCTATATAATTAAATTTATCTTTACAAATTTCTTTTATTTAAGAAAAAGCATTTATATAACAAGATTTTCTTAATAGTCCCTTGAGTTATATTTGCATTAAACCTACAACTTGTTTGATGAGTATTGATGACTCATTAGCCGCTATAATACCAAATTACAAATTGATACCCAGCGAATATCGATGCCGATAGATAAAAGTTCGGATAAACAACATATAAAGGTAGACATTTTGTTATATGAAATTGTGAATATATGAACACATATTTCACCTGGTTATCTTCAAAAATAAACTTGCACGGTATCTCTTTGCGTAATATTTTCCCAAATATTGTATCACCTCCGTCCGCAGTAGCGGACTGTGCCTTTTCTACTTCAGTCGCCATTTTCCTTTGACCAGTAGAGCACGTTCGTAGATCGCCACCAAGGTATGTTACAAGTCTGCGCGCATTTATAGCAAAGTTCGATAATGTCCTCATGTTGAAGATCTATATGAGTGCATAATTACCTCTAATTGTTAGTTTCCACGTTTTATACACTTCACTGGGTGCTTTCCAGCTACGTACACAGGCGACACTGGTCTAGTTTCCACCGAAGCATTAATTCACACCTAATGCGACGTAGAATCAAATTCAAGTCGATGGAAACCTGTCAAATTGTGCTGATTTCGCTTTCGCTTCGATCTATAAGTACTCTACTTCCAATGGAAACGGAACACTAAATTTAATCCGTACCGGAGTGAAACCGAATTGAGGGTTTCGGTGGAACTAGACCACAGCAGAGAGAAACCTGAGAGCGGCCATCCTATTGTAATTTTTTACGACGGTTTCAGCCGCTGGTTTTAGCCGTATTTCCACAAAAGTGGAACTCAAAGGCCGTTCT